TGCCTCCCGAGTGCTGGGATTAAAGGCATGTGCCACCAATGCCTGGTGGGTTTTGTATTTCTAAGTGAGAAAATATGTTGACAGAACCAATGTAACCATGGTTAGGACCAATGTAACAAGGTTAGGGACTGATGTAATGGTTGGGACCAATGTAGCAAGGGTTAGGACCAATGTAACAAGGGTTAGCACCATTGTAACTATTAGGACCAATATAACAGTTTGTGCCGGGCCTTGGTGGCTGGCCTTTAATCCCAGCACTCGGGAGGCAGAGGCAGGGAAATCTCTGTGAGGTTGAGGCCAGCCCGGGCTCCCGAGCGAGGGGCCGGCCAGGGCCCCAAGCCAACCAAAGCAACCCCCGCCCCGCAAAAACAAAAAAAAAAAAAATGAAGGGACCAGCTCCCCATTTCGGCAGCCATAACAGCTGAACACGTGCTTGTCTGACCATGCCTTGGTCACTAGAGGTTAGGTGCCTGCCTCGTGACAAGGAACCAATCAGAAGTTAGCTGGTGTTGGTATGCTTTACAGCTCTGGGTGTGCTTTACCGACAAGTGCACAACAATGACGCACAGAGCATAGCAACCACCCTGGGAGGGCCTATGGGTCATAACAACCAATTGGCCAATCAAAACAGGGCAAGCCCTCCAAGCCTGGAGGCACACCAATCCTGAGCCTGTGAGTACCCCTAGACACTCCCCTTACACTGCTCTACAAGATCTCTATGCAGTCCCTTCGAGCAGTCTTTGCTAGCCATCTGCCATGGCGGGTGGGTAAAAGACCTGAGCTAACATGGTGTTAGCTTGTTAAACAACAATAAAGCCTCATGCAGTTTGCAGCAAGCTTTCGAATCCACCTGGTGATTGGGGTGACCGAGGTCCTGGGCTTAGACCCCAGAGGCCTGAGTTTTCCTGGGGTCTAACAAAAACAGCTATCTGACCAGGGGGTGCTGGCACACCCCTTTAATCCCAGTGCTCAGGAGGCAGAAGCAGGCAGATCTCTGTGAGTTGGAGGCCAGCCTGGTCTACAGAGCAAGTGCCAGGATAGGCTCCAAAACTACACAGAGAAACCCTGTTTCAAAAAACAAAACAAAAACAAAACAAAAAACCAAAACCAAAACAAACCCTAGCAATCTGACACCCCCTCACCCCCTCCCAATCATCCCCACCTCCACCCCCACTCCCATTTAACAGTTCTGTATGTGTTCAGTACCACCTGGAAATTTCATCCAGTGCCTTTGACTTTTTTTAATTTTAAAATTATTATTTTATGTGTATAGGTGTATTGGCTGTACCACATGCATGCCTGGTGCACGAGGAGGCCAGACAAAGGCATCGGATCCCTTGGAACTGGAGTTACAGTTGTGAGCTGGGAATCAAACCTGGGTCTTCAGGAAGAGCAGCCAGTGCTCTTTCTTAACCTCTGAGTCATATCTGTGGCCCCAGTGTTTGCCTTCTTGACAGGAGTGTACTTACACAAAACAACTAGGACCCTATTTTCACAACTATTTATTTTCATTCATTTTTAAACATTTTTTCACAGCATCTGAAACAACTTATTTAACATGCATTGGTCATTCTCTATAATTTAATGTTTTCTCTAAAAAAAAAAGGAAAAAACTTCATACCCTAGAATTTAAGAACAGAGCTGTTTAAGAGGTGCATGGGAAAGCCTCTTTCCAAATAGGGCTGTGGAGAAAATGACTCCATGAGATTCTTCCAGATCCATGGGATTTTCTGTTCTGCCCATGGAAGCCTCCTTGGGATCCACTTCCATCTTTCTGGTCATGAGGCTTAGCCCCCCTGACTCCCAGCCAGGAGTGTAGAATACCACATCCTGCATTGGAGAACCGTGGGTTTCTGAGAGGCACATGTCCTTGTGTCCTCTGCTCCCCAGGGGAACGTGTGGAAACTGCTCTGTCTCAGTGTTCTCTTCCTAGGGGCACAGTGTGGGTGTCTGTACATGTGTACACAGGAAGTGACAAGGGTGAGTGCCTCCCTAGTCAGGTGCACACTTCT